CTTTCAGAGAGAGAGAGAGAGAGAGGTCTTCTACAGAACATGCGTGGGGTGAGTAAGAGAACGCAATGATGTACTCCTCCCACTTAATTAAGAGACTATCAAGAAGCAACAAACCTGAATACTGAAGTCATCGCACTTAAACTCTGATTTCTCCAAGTAACGGAAAACCAACTCGAGTGACTTTTTAATAACCGCAACGACTATAGCTTCAGCTTGATCCACTGTCGAGGCAAATGCACCAAAGACAACATGCATCAATTGAATAACATATCACTAACCGAAATCCATTCCCCGGGAGAGTAAAGAAATCTTGAAGAAGAAGGGGAAAAAATCCAAGATTCAAGAAGCAAAGCCGCCATTTACTTTTAATAAAACTTCAAACTAATATAGTTGCAAATTGCTTGCATAATTACACACACGTACAATTGTTTAAAAAAATTAAAAAAACAATTGTTTACAGTTGATGCACTTAAACAGCATTCCAACTGAGTTTGCAGTCCTCGCAAAAGTAAAATATTCGATTACAATGCACAAGTAATCCAAAAGCACATAAAACCCAAAATATGAACCGAAAGAAAACAAAACAGAGACGGAAAAACACATTTCGTAATGAATAAAAGCTCGGGAGTGAAGCAAAGCGCACCGTTGAGAGATCGAGAAGCAGAAGCAATTGCATAAGCAATTGAACAAACAGCTTGGATCTGAGGATCGGTCCAGGACTGGAAAGCGAGCTTGGCATCATCGAGCTCCCGAAGACCGGCGTTGAGAATGGAATAGAATTGACGAAGGCCGAGTTTGATCGAGGAATCATCGGAGCGAAGCAAGTGGAGGAGATCGGATGAGGACAAAGGCTTCTTGCTATTGGTGCTGCTGGCATCGTCGACGAAGAGAGTGTCTACGAGTTTAACGAGACTCTGCTCCGCCATGAGCAGTGGTGCGCACAGGCCTCGACGATCAGACTAGAAACTTGGAGAAGAAGATGATGATGAAGAAGAAGAAGAAGAAGAAGAAGAGAAAAAGGATGTGTTTTATAAATAGTAAGAGATTAGAGGGGTTTTGTCAGTGTAAAAAAGGAGAGGGGGTTTGTAACAAATGTACAAAATTAATTACAAAAAAAATAAAACGAAAAAGAAGAAAATATGCTGCTAAAGGCGGTGGACTGAAAATGAAAATATTCTATCGTACGTGTCTTTCTCTAATATGTTTTTTTATTTATTTTAAATAAATACTTTTTCCAATTATTACGAATATATAATATGAATACTTGTTTTGAAGCGGTTACTTGTCAAAACGATAAAATAGTTTTCCTTTCACCTTTTAGAATCGGGGACGAATATGTTGATAGATACAGTTTCACTCGTTCAATGATAATTTACTTAAAAATATAAAAATAATATATTTGATTGATCTTTACCATCTATGGAACATATATTATGGTTGATTTTAAATGTGGATTTGGAATAAAAATTGAGTTTTTTTTAGTACTAATAAGTTTAAATTGGAATGATGGTTGAAACTTTAATGATATGTTTGGTTGCTGGAGTGATCATCCAAACTTATTTGTTGTTCATAATTTTGTCATATTGGAAGGAAGTAACTCGTGAATGATAAACCAATGATTTAAACAATTATTTAATGAGATTTTGACATAGCTCAAACTAAAAGCAATTAGTTTAGAGCTTATTCGAGAAATAAGCAAGTCGTGCTCTATCTTGATTTTTGGAGTTTTACCATCAATTCACCCAAACAGAAATTTGGAGTAAGGGGCACTCGATTTAAAAAAAAAAATACACTGTTTCAATCCATCGACAACAACGTAAGGAAAATACAAGGTAAAGACGTAAAACAAAATGTGAATGCTCTTTTCGCTCGTATTTCAGTATCTTGCTTTCTCGTATTGTTGTAATGTTAGTGAGATAGTAGCTAATTTGTACCGTGATTATATTTTTATATGAACTAAAACTTTTTCTAATTAAATCATACAGTACAACTACTACATAAATAGAAAAGTTGGCATTCGACACACTTCTCATACTGAGAACTTCATTGTGGTTGTTTTGTTATGTTCAACCTAAATTATTTCTCTAACGTTACTCGATGCAAAGTCAATAATAAATTGAAAATAAATTTCAACAATTAAAATCGTATACATTTTTTAGTTTTAAATTACGTTTTAATCCATATATTATATTTTATGCTAGATATTATTTTTTCAACTTTCAACTAAATCTTTAAACCATACATAAAAACACACTTTAGTTATTTCTTCATAAATCGTTAAAAAAAAAACAAAATAAAATAAAACAAATATGTAAATTTAGGTCCAAGTAAGAGTTTTTTTTTTCCGTAAATTATTTTCAGTTTCCAAACGCGATTTCAGCCATCTGAATATCAATATCTCAGCTCTCTCGGCCTGTTGTGCCCTAAATTTTAAACTCGAAGATGCAATTACGAATTTGATCTGCGAATACGATCATCAATTCTCATATCTGTGAATCACTAATTGGAGAAGAGAAACAGCCGCATCAACACGCGGATTGATAGAGGAAGAAACCAGAGCACAATCGTAAGGGTACACAAGAGAGAGATGAAGAAATTCAATCGCAAATCGGAGTCCACTGGATTGAGGAAGTTTAAGAGATTGAGAAATTGTTCATTTACCTACGAACGCCGGCGGCTGCGGCGCGAGGGGCGGAGTTCGAACAGTGGCGTCGTGCGGTTACAGGAATCGAACTTCGAATTCGAGTCACGAGATGCCGAGGAAAGATCGAAGAGAGAGGCGACTGAGTATCAATTGAGTGGTGCAGAATGGTGTGCCTTGCGAGGATGATTCAAGAGGGGGCGATTGATTGAGACTTGAGAGTGAGATGAATTTCGTTCGCGGCGGGTTTCTTCTCCAAAACGAAATACAAAAAAATTTACGGCGGGAGAGAGGTGGTTTTTTATTATTATTATTTTTTATATAATATTAACAAAAATATAGTAAGGGGAATTTCAACGGTTAACAATTTATATTGCGGGTACAGTAACAAAATTGTGTAATTTCTTTTTTACCTTTGTATATCATTCTACCAGTGATATTTTATATATTGCTAGTAGTGATAGAACGGATAGATATTTTAAGATAATTATAGTCTTATTTTATGGTGGATTTGGGTTTTTTTTTAACTATATTTTCAATTAATTGAGTTTGATCATATATATATGTAGGTGTCTTATATATTAATTTTAGGTAATGCTTATAATTATATGTATATATATTTGTCAGGTGTTTTTTTAGAACGTAATTTTTTAATACAATATATGAGGTGGAAATTAAATTCACAACCTTTTGACTGAAAATATATGTGAATTATTGTTGAACTATACTCGAGTTCTATTTGTCAATTGTTATTATTTGCAACATTCAACTGTAAAAATCACTATCAAAAAATAAATAAATTGTTGAAGTCATATATTCTGACCAAAAAAGCGTGGATTTGAATCCTCACTTCATGTTGTAAAAAAAATATAAATATTTATGTTTTAAAATCACATATTAAAAGTGGGTTTACTCAACCTACTTTATTTTTTTTAGTACAACTTTATTTTTTTTTAGTACAACACGTAGGGTGAGTAGATTTGAACTTATGACCTTCTAGTCGGATATAAGTACACTATGTTCAATCTAACTCAATCTATCTTATTTTTAAAAAATAAAAACAAAATATTTTTTTTCCCTTTCAAATGCCTACCAAAATATGAAACATAGTGGGCCTTGAGAATAAGTGATTTGCTTGCATTTGACAGTGATATGGTTCTCTAGACAAATCTCTGACTTCCTTTTGTTATTTTTTGGTTTGTCATACATATTATTTTTTGCATGACACTCTTTTTATGATAAAGTGGTGTTAGTTTGACATCAAAATTGAATTAAATTATTTACGAACACAAATTTGGATTCATTTGTTCACAAATTTTGAGGCAAGTATTTTTCGGGAGACTGTCTCGAACTCTCAAATACTATCTTACTTAGATACTCAACATGTTTTATTCTCAAATTAAGCAAACGATGTTTCATTATTCACTACTTATGAACGCGAACTTTGTACTTATCTATCTACGACCACCATAAAATTCACGAGTTAAACTAAGCATGGTCCAACCAAAATGACTTTGAAGAATGAATAGCCGGAGACAAATTCGAAATATCAAATACTTTAAAAATATAAATCTACTTGAAAGTTGAAAGCAATTTTTACTTTAAAAGGCCAATGGATGATTTGATTATGCACCAAGAAGTTAACTTTAAAGATATATATAGTACAAACAAACAAAATGCCACCCTTAATTTTTGTAACCAATTAAAATATGCAAATATGAGAAGTAAAATTAAAATAATTTGGGGGAAGGGAGAGAAAATCCATTGGAGAATGAAGTGAATAAAGAGGGAATTCTGTGTTTGTAGTTGAAGTGCTGTTTATTGTCACAGATAAGTCACCAAAATAGAGCCTTTGGCCCTTTTCTCTCTGTTTTGCTGCTCCATCTCGTGAACTAACACTGACCCAACTGCCCCAAATTTGGCCATATCCCACACCAATAAAGAACCAAATTGAAATTAAATGCCAATTAAAAAACAATGGTACAAATAAAGACCCGAAGAAAAATACTCAATGTTTATCGATCAACATCTATCTTATCCCAACCAATATTAAATCTTCGATAAGTAGGACCAAAAAACGCAGAAAAGAGATAGTTTTTCTATTTTAAAACAAGTTAAAAAACCTATCAATTTTTTACTCGTAGTCGGCACGAAGATGAGTGCTGAACTATTAGAAATTAGTCAACCATCTATTCATTTTTATGGCCTCTTTAGTTGGTGGGAAAATGAACCATTCACTGCTGTTTTGGTTTGCAGTTCACTGGTTTTTGCATGATTCACATTATGAACCTTGGTGGAGTTTTGTGATATAAATTCCCATTGGTTTCTCATTTTTTCTTTACCTCAAGATGGGAACAGAACCAGTGGGATCTTCAATGGTTTGGCTTCTCATTTTACTCATTCTCAATTTGAGTTTCTGTGACCTTTCACAGGCCAGGCATCACAAGAACCTACCCTCCGCTGTCATCGTCGGTACGGTCTTTTGTGATACCTGCTCTCAAGAGAAGCTCTCAAAGACTAGTCGCTTCATCTCAGGTAGTTGGAAAGTCTAAATTTGTGTAATGAGCATAATATAAAGTGAGAAAGCTGTATTCTTTCTAAAATCACGGATCTCTGAATAGTGATTCGGAACGCTGACAACCTTAAACTTTAAAGTGAAGGGTCGTGACTAAACATGGTTTTATACGTTTGTAGGGGCAACAGTTGCTGTCGAATGTGGAAACGGAGGACCAAAACCGAGTTTTAGGGAAGAAGTGAAGACAGACAAGAGAGGGGAGTTCAAGGTTGATCTGCCAGTTTCAGTGAGCAGACATGTGAAGACGATTGAGGGATGTTCTGTGAATTTGATTAGAAGCAGCGAGGCATATTGTGCAGTGGCTGCAGCAGCAACATCATCTTCCTTTGAACTCAAATCAAGAAATCAAGGCACACATTTTTTCTCAGCTGGATTCTTCACTTTCAAGCCCCTCAAACACCCAAACATTTGCACCCAAAAGCCATATTCCAACACATTCCATGACATGAAACAAGCTCTCCCGATGCTCGACTACCCGGCTCTGCCGACCCCGATCGAGAACCCGACGATCGTGCCGAATGTTCCTCGGATTTACGACAATCTTCCTCCCCTCCCATTTCTTCCTAGACTCCCACCATTGCCTCAACTCCCTCCTCTCCCACCTCTCCCACCACTCCCAGGCTTTCCAATCTTTCCACCTAAAAAGACTGTAGAAAATGCACCAAATGGAAAGACTCTGCTCCCACACAAAAAGCATTTGAGGCCACATTTTGTTCTGCCTCCACACAGGCTGCAACACCCTCCTCTCTTCCCCAATATACCTTCTCTGCTTCCATTTGAAATTCCTCCTCCGCCCGTGGCAGCGGCAGTGGGGGCGGTGGCGGGTGGCTCGGTCCCGTCCCCGCCATCCCCGACCTCGCCGACCCCTTTTCCTATCCCTCCTGTTCCTGGCCTGCCTGGGATTCCCTCGCCTCCTAGGCAAACTTCTCCTTGAAATATTTCAAACCTTAAAAGCTTTAAAAAATAAAAAGTTGCACTAATAGTTTTTGTTCTGCTTCTTTTCCAGTAAAAATCAATAATCATGAACTGAAGTTGATGACATTGAGGTAGTCTTTCAGTGAGGATTGGACATAAAAGGATGTTTTGTTGGTGTTGTCTTTTGGATAAGTTTGGTCATAAAGTCCAAATGTTGGGACAACTTTTGGAATGGATTTATCTAAATTTGCAGACTCGTTCCAATTGTTAGTATGTATATTGAATAGTTCAATAAATTTAATTTGATTCACTATTTTTGTCCATAATTAATGTCTTAATCAATATAAAATTGAATACGTTGTCTGTGATTTGAGTATTTAAGTTGGTGATAAAATATAAATGTATGGTTTTCAAAATTACATGTTACTTGTTTGAATTGAAAGGTTTAAATGTTGAATTGACTCTATGATATAATAAGTACCGACTCTTGTCTTAATTTAATTATTTTATTCAGAAAAAAAAAGATAATTAGACAGATTTGCAACTTTGTTATCTTATTAAAACTCGAAACAATGGTTAAAGCGAACACAAGCTCAGTGGTAATTGACATATTTCTCAAATCAATGAACGATTAATTATAATAATATAATTACAAATTAGTTTAAAGGTCGTTATTTTTTTTAACTAATATATACTGTTCCAATTATGTTTGTCACATTAACTCCTGTAATTAACACTCATTTTTGACTAAGATATCATGAATTCGAATACCTCGAACTCGCTTATTGTATTGTATTGAAAATAAAAGAAGGATTCTTTGTATATTTTAATATATAAAAAAAAATAATTGTATAGTAAAGTAGTAGAGGCAAAATTGGACCTAAAATAATTTCAAAATGCCGAAAAGACAAACGAGAAAAAAAAAGGCAATTTCACATAATTCAATAAAAAAAATATTGTACGTATTTCGCAAATTTTGTCATTTTCTTTTAAATATACCATCTGAAAAAATTGTAACTCCTATTTTTAACCCCAACTTTCAAGTTTGATTAAACAATAAAACGTGTATTTAGTTTATAATTTCTTTTAAGAACTACTATGTTAGTCACTAAATTTTATTTTTTAAAAGATTGAAATATCTATTGTTTATGAATTTAAATAATAATAATAATTTTAACCATTATTAAATTGTGTCACCTAATATTCACTTACTAAATACTCATATCAATCATCATACTTGACTTAGATACATTCTTAGAAATACATTTTAATAGAAAAAATAAATGTACTAAAAAAACAAGACATGAACAATGGTGGTTCAATGTTATAGCAACTAAAAAGCAAAAGAAAAAGAAAATATAATGATCATAATAATTTTTATTTTATTTGAAAAATTCAAATTAGACATATCGAGACAATCAAATCATTTCTATATTGACTGTACTAAAAAACACTACGACATATTGAGAATCGAAGGAGAAATAAAACAAACATGACATTTATGGAATTAAAATAAAATAATCAAAAAAATTTAGAGACTTTCGACTATTAATTAACAAATATTATTCTATCAATATTAAGAATCAAAATAGTTACGATCAAGAGTTGTTTTATCATTATTGAAAACATAATTGAACGATTAAGAAACCATCCTTTGATGAAAAATTTGTGGATTCGAATAAAGAATGACCCAAGAGGCGTTCATATATTTGTAGGTTGAAATTAGAATTTGATTCATAATTCCTACGGTACTAAGAAAGAAGAGTGTGGAGAAGAGGTTAAATTAGAGGATTCTATCTGATCCACCCACCAGCAAGAACAAGAAGGGGCACCGGCTGAGAGAGAGAGAGAGAGGGCGGCCTTAATTTCGCACATTCGTAGCTTTCATCGCCTTCAAATTCCAATCCGAACGCCCCTAAAAATGCGCAGTCTTGATTTAGGAGGATTGCAATATCTGCGTGCGTGATTTTTCCCAAAAAGCGTATGTATATAATTTCCGCATATTCACCGAATTTCCGAGTTCCAGGTTTCTCTGTCCTCCACCCACCACCGAAGATCGTATTCTTTCGGTCTTCTCCCCACCCCCACTCTACTGCTCTCTCGAGGTACTTTTATCTTTCTCCTACTCGTCTCTATCGATATATTCTCTATGTCCCTTTGATTTCCCCCCTTTGGGTGTGAATAGTAGGTGGGGCATCCCGATGATCGCCGCAAAAATTGATTGTTCTTAATGGGGTTCTATAATTTTTGATGATTTATGCGTGTTCGTGGTCCGATCGTCAATTTGTTGGGTTTTTTCTTATGGGATCTTCATATGATTTGAATAGTTGTTTCCATGTCCAATATCCCTTATTCTTCTCTGGATACTTTGGATGAGTTATGTGGATGATGATCAGCTTGGTTTGCTATTGATATTGTTGTGGTATCTATTTTCCTCGTCATCCAAGGAAAGAATCCGTGTTTTCTGAGCTGACCCAGAAAAAAATCGAGCTCGGTGAAAAGAGCGGGTAATTTTGACAGAGGATTATGGCATTTGATAACATTTCTTTTTTTGTTGGTTGTTTCAACAGTTTTTCTTTCATTGTTGGTAATTATCGCGGCTTCGGATTGCTGCCGACAGATTCATGTTCCTTCAAATAATGCCGATTGTTGGTTAAATTTATGATCTTAGTAGGAACTGTTATTTGACTTGCTTGCCATGTGACCTCATTGCCATTTATGCATCACAGTTGCTGCCTTTGGATCCCCATCCTATTAACAGCATTACTGAACAGAGGCTGTTTATTTTACAGGTGAAAATCTCAGTATAAAAAATCCAGTTTATTCAAATTGAAGAGGGAGGGTACTGGTTCGTGGAGGCAATAGTACTTCTGCGAGCTTATGTACTCTCGTCTCCATTTGCCTGCATAATCATTGACCAAGAACCCTCTATCTAAATGCAAGTGAATCGCTAAACTGCTCTATCCGCTGACTTGGAAACTTGCTGGGTCGGATAATAGATAATTATAAAGAGATTGGTAGGAGTTGGCGCAATGGGTGCTGTCTGCTGCTGTTTGAGTGTGGAGGATTATGAAGACTATGTTAATCCAAATAGTTCATTATATAGGAATTGCACCTGTCTTAGTTGCTTCATTCAGAACTTTTTAAATGCGGTAAGCCCATCTTTGATGCAATATGTTTCGGGTTATTTTTTTGCATGCCACTATCAAGCATGATAATACAAGTGTTCATGAACATATATATGGACGATGAGATTTTGTTGCAATGCTAATATTGGTGAAAATAGGAAGAAAAGTTTTTAAGGTCATATTTTGTATTTTGAAAAAAAAAAAAAAGACTCTTCCATAGATTGCAGAAAGTTCTGACTAAATAAACTCTTTCGTATTTTGTCATAACAATGTTGAAAAAAAACATCACTAATTGGTATTTATTATTTTATGAGAATTTGGTGTTTATATAATACTAGAGTCTATTGTTAAATATATTTTTCCTGAAAAATCTGTGTTGAAAATTGGCATTGCAAATATTAGCAGGAAAATGTCGTGAACATTAACATTATTTACTTCCTTGTATGCTATATTATTGTGCTGTGTGCTTGCATTTGTGTCCTTTTGACGTTCCTTTTTTTTTTTTAATAGATTAAGAGACGGATAATATATTAAAAAAATACTCCACTGGCAAACAACCTAACAGCCGAGGTAGAGGGAACCCCTGCCAATAGAATTGAACCAAAAAGACCTTCCAATCATTTACAATCATACCCAAACTATTGCCTATGCTTTATAATGCGTTAGTGTGGGTAATTACATATAACCTATGACTCACTACAAATTATAATATAATTATGGAAAAGCACTTGTAATTTGTTTCAAGTGTCAATATAGTTTGAGACTTATATCCTCAAGCTAATTGTGTTACTTTGTTTTTCCTATTATTTTCTCTAGTACACATTGATATTCCGAAGAGGAGAAGTGCATTCTGTCTCTTCATCAATTCAAGGCACAACATCTATGAATTCTACAGCATCAACTGATAACTCTTTATCTGAAATGTATCGCTCACCTCCAAGGCCGTTGCCTTATGATGCTGACCCCAGATACATCCGCTTGCAGCGAGATGGATTAATTTCTAGGCGAGAGAAGGGGTCAAGCCATTTACATGAGGAGTCAGAACCTTTAAGAAGTGAAGTAGATGCAGATTCAGATTCTTTGGACACGCCAGGCAAGTGGAATGGATCTGCTTGTCTTGATGAATCTAAAGAAAATCTTGGCAAGTCATCTCTTAAGTTTCCTTCAACAAAGTCTACCACTGGAGTTGGGTATGCTTATACATCGTCTGAAGATGAGGATGTTTGTCCGACGTGTCTTGAAGGTTGATTTATTTAATTAACTTCATTCTATCATGGATTTTATTTTATTGTAGATTTTGTTACTTCTAATAGTCCGTGGTTTTAGCCCTCGATATTCTTGTTTTTGAAGATCTGAGAGAGATTTACGTCCAAGTTACTGATCCACACATTTTTTGATGTACTGCCTCATTCTGCTCGTTTAATTTTCTTCTTTTTTGTATCAGAATACACTTCAGAGAATCCCAAGATAATGACACAATGTTCTCATCATTTTCACCTTGGATGTATCTATGAGTGGATGGAGAGAAGTGATAACTGTCCAGTTTGTGGCAAGGTATGGTTATTTTTCTCCATCATACTGTATAAACTTGTTCAATTGGTATCTCAAAGCCACACTATTGGTTGAGTTCTAGGGTCAGACTCAGGTCGATGTTTGAATCTTTTTATGTTTTGAAAGTTCTATGTTTCATGAGTGTTCTGATTATTTGGGAAACATGTGATTTTATGATTGTCTGATCATATTGATTTTAGGAAAAACAAAAGAAGTTAGTATTCTACTATGGATCGGGCATAAGGACCATTCTGGATGTGCACAATCATCGTGGTCCTTTGTTAAATAAAAAAACGTCTGGTTAACATATATGGTATAATAGGATCCATTTATTAATGAATAGCCTAATCTTGGTCATCTTCCGTTAGAGGGGTAGATTAAGTTATGTTCACTTCTATAATATTTCCTATAAAAAACTTCTAGAATATCAAATGTTAAAGAGAATTCATCTTCTTTTTCCTCAGAATGGGATAAGTTGATCTCATTCTTATATCAAGATTTATACTATTTTAGAATGGGATGGCTTGTTGACATGGTAACATTTGGAGTTTTATGCAAGTAAACTAATATAACATCACACCATTTTGTGATATTCAATTCAACGGTATTCTAGTGCTCCTGAATTATATGAGAGGCGGATTTAGCTTTTAAGTTTGTTGCATAACAAAATTGTACCAGCATTAAGTGATTTAGACTGAATTGTACAACTGGTACTTTTACTCCAAAAAAAAAGGTTCTGCCTGTGATGAAACTTTGGGTACAGAGTGAATAATCTTCGATAAATTTTCATGCAACTCCTTATTTATTTGTGATGGTACCTTGAAGTCCTCCTACTGATTCATGGGGTATGAAACTTAGGACTGTGACAGCTTTACAATGTTTGATGGTTAGGAACTGGTGGTAATTGGGTACCATTTGGTATAGATTTAAATACAATTTCTTTTTTAAAAAGTGTTTCAGATACAGTGTACAGATACCTCTTCTGATAAATAAGTTTTTAAACTGGATCTGGACGAACCACCTCGGTAGAATTAATGGCCAATTGGGGGAGGGCTTAAAACCATAGTGGCCACGTACTAAGGATTTAATATCCTGAGTTTTATTGGCAACTAAATGTAGTAGGGGCACCCATGAGTGACAAACTTTTCTTTTAAGAAAGGATGGCTTTGTCTGTAAAGCCTATAGTTACCACTGGGAAAACGGACATTGTTGTGTGGTTGCAGAATTTCTGGGGTTCTTTCCCTTCAAATGAGCCTGCCACATTTTCTGGATCTTTTTTTCTTTTATTTGCTAGTGGAGATGTGTTTTTCTTGTCTGATATAGTTTTCTCTCTTACACAAAAGTTATTTTGGTATTTTGTTTTTTATGATTACAAGGATGTATTGAATAATAAGCTGTTTCCTAAGGGATCAAATTGGTTTTGTTCATGAGTTATGTTAGTTTTTAGGTACTAATTTTTTTCTTCGAAGGCTGAAGTACATGGCTGATTCATGGAAAAGGTTATTTACTTGTCATTAAAACTTCAATTAGAAAAACTATAGGGAACTCCATATAATTTTTTTTTTTTGGATAAGAGACGAAACACAAGAACAAAAGAGCAGTCTAGGGGCAGGAAGCCCTAATAAGAAAAACTAATGAATCATAGCTTTTCAATCTTGAAGAGTCATGAATAAGCCGTAATTACAGAATAATTTCGTGTTTTAAGCACTATAAAGAAGTAGTAAGCTGCATGCTATGTCTAAAAGAATCAAAAGATGCTTCAATTCCCTCAAAAACTATTCGGAAGTCCATAGATTCTTAGTATTTATATAGGTTGGTTAACTGATTGTCACCTGTATGAATTCAAGAGCCACTGATATGATGCACACCACACTTGGTTTATAGGACAGCAATGCCCCCATTTAGAAATTCCTTGTTCTCATTTCTAATCTTGGTCACTTGAAGATAAAGGCTAGTACTTATTGTTAAGATATATTCTGTAAAGATGTACATTAGTAATATTTGATTTGGGCTCAAGCCTTATTAACTAACCTGTAGGTTTTCAATTAGTCCGCTAAGGAGTTTTTTTTAGTCGAATTCTGGAGAGAAAACACTCTTTTCCCCCTCTCATTAGTAGTAGCCAGGTTATCTTATAAGCTGCTGAACCATATTTGGTGAATTTAGTTCTTCCAAACAAATTGAGACATGCTATCATCTGAATTCTGAGTCTGCTGATTAGCACTAGCATAGATTATTTGATTTGTAAACTGGAGGTAAGATTAACATGTTTGGATGGGTTTTATTAACTTCTATTTCATACTCTTCTTATTATAATATCCTAGGTAATGGCATTCGATGAAACGACCTGATGTCGCGGACGAAGCCAGCAACACCTTGGGCATAACCAACAGGAACGTGGTCATTTGTGAATATTGCAGGATAAGATTTGAGTAAATATTATCAATGAAAGTATAACCAAGGTTGTCTTCTTTATCCATTCTGTTTCCTCTTTTCTTCTTCTTCTTTCTTTTGGAAGATTATTTCTTCTAAGTTATACTGTTGAAACTGATGTTTCACCAAAATATCATCTTATAGGGAAGAAAAATAGGGGTTGTGATGACTGAGAAACCATTCCATTCCTTCCATGTTTGGTTTCTTTCTTTTATTTTCTTGGAGTGAAATGTGTTCACCTTTCAATCATCTCTCTTCTTCTGGAAGAAAAATAAGAGATAGTAAAGTGAATGGGTTGGTTTCAAGTATAAAAAAATTATGTTTTCTTTTGTTCACATGGAATGTTTTTTTTTTAACCAGAAATGTTTTTTTTTTAACCAGAAACGAACTTTTCATTGACTTGATGAATAGGAACAGAAAATTGTTCAAAGATACAACCCCGAAGGAGTGAGAATGTAAACAAAACAGAAAACAGAACAAACTAAACCTAACACAAACAAAAGTTAGGGGAGTTCTCCCAATAATAATTAACAAAAACATTGGAAAGAGCACACCATTGGGAACCTTAAACTTTGCTAGGTAGAAAACTTCAACCGGATATCAATGTTTCCCTTGAAAAGCTTTTGATTTCTCTCGAACCAAATATCAGACAGCGACTCTATTACACCAAAGAAGACCTATCTTTGACGCGAGACACGGACCAATCAACAAAGATTGAACATTCTTAGCAACTTCGAAGTCAAAAACTCAAGAAACCTCAAAGATCTCAAAGACGGTAGTCGAAAAAGAACACTAAAAGAATATAAAGATTGAACATTCTTAAAAAGAACACTAAAAGAATATAAAGATTGAACATTCTTAGCAACTTCGAAGTCAAAAAACTCAAGAAACCTCAAATATCTCAAAGACAGTAGTCGAAAAAGAACACTAACAGAATATATGTTGCTGGAACTCACAAGGCTTTCCACACAGTGAGCAAATGGAAGGAAAAAACACCATAGAAGGGTTTTTCCTTTGAAGAAAATCCACTGTATTAGCTTTGCCAAAGAGGAGTGGAATGTAGAAGTGTGATTTAAAAGTTATTTGAAATTGTGACGAAGAGCGGGAGAGGGAAGCACACGAGGACAGTAGGCCCGAAAGCTGTTAGCAAGTAGGCACTGCGCTGTATTGCTAAGAGGCGAACCTTGTTTTTCACTTGTTCAATACCGGTCCGCTATGAGCAAAGCGAATAGAGGAAGGCCCGGACCGTTCCGGGAGTACCAACTACCATGTAATATCATTTTCGGGATGGGGAAAATAAGAATCCCCATCGCCCCAATAAAAAAAAAGTTTTTCTTTATTTTTTTTTTATCAAAACGACTTCTGGCATCACCGGAAGGATCGAAACCCCATTCATAGGCCGACAATTTTTCTRGATAGGTTGAACTATTGGAAGCAAATGGAAAAGGAACACCGAGTGGGATCAAAGAAACTCTCCCACAGGAGGGAAATTGATGCAGTCCATACACAACCTAAAAGGAAAAGACAAATGGAAAACTGATAGAAGAGGAAAAACGAAAACCACCTTTTTGGAACTCCATGTTTCCGAGGTTGCTTGAATCAATCATATAGAGGAGTTTGGTCGAGTTTTTGCTTAATTTACTCACTAGGAATTGGAATGAAAATTAATCAAAATGAGAATTTTATTTCTGTGATGTTGTTTACTAGCAATTTTATGAAATTAGAATTAGAAATCTTTTACTGGCAATTTTATGAAATTAGAATTAGAAATCTTTTACTAGCAATTTTATGAAATTAGAATTAGAAACCGATTTTTTATTTTGAAGTAAAATACATTATCTAAAACAATATTACATTTTAAGGTTGATGTGAGAGAGTGATTTCCAAATTTAAAGGGGTGTCGCCAATTTGATTTAACATTCCGTGTAAATGGAGCCATAGAGGCATCTAACATTAAGATTGTCTAAATGGAATTTAATTTGGATTTTGCATGACGAAAAGGAGGATGGAAGATTTTGAAGGATATTACAACAGTTGATTCTTCCGGTTCGATAATCTTTTCTTCTCACCTTCTCTTCTAATGAGTGGGTGGAAGAAGTACATTTTTAAACATTTTCTATGTTTTACTTTTATTTTTAAACACAAGAAAAAGAAAGCAAAAGAAGAAAAATCGACTAGAGCTTCTGAGTCTGAGTTGCTGCATTCAGCAAGCTCATTGAGGCACTCTTCCATACAAACTTCAGCACCCATTATCATCATAAAGCATCATACGATTCATCCAACTTATTAAAGCCAAAACAAAAAACAGCTATCTAAATGTCATCTTTCATTATAAGCCGTTTAGAGAGACTTCTATTCAAAACCAAATGGGTGGAATCTTTTTGCTATATTCATCTTCAAATTCTGATTTGGATTCTCCCATTTGGACTCACTCTCTTAATGAGAGATAGTTCAAAACTCATAGCGGCAACCTAACAATAAAAGAAAAAGCTTTTCATTCAAATACAAAATGTCAGTTTCGAATAAGTTAATGTGAACAAGTTACACCTCAAAATACAAAAAGCTTTGTTCTATAAATTGAACAAACAGAGAAACTTATCTAAAAGCACAAAAGAATACAGCATGTAATGTCACTTTACAAGATTGATAATAATGTAACTTGGCTCATGGTCTTCATCATTGCTTGCCTTGCCATACATGCCTGGAAGAAAATAGAACAGTAAGCCATTGGAATTGGAACAGCTGCTTAAGTTAAGATACAGAAGAAAATCTTATAAAACTAATACAGATTCACAACGTGCTACATGTAAAGCTGTCATTGAGACCCAGCAGGAAGCTAAAGATTCGATTCAGATTCGTGCTTTGACTTTACATGCTAATTTCCTCCGCTCCAAAAGGAAGACGAAAAACACACAGATATATAGCAGATCTCACTCTAAGACAAGGTCTTTTACTTGTATTGGATTGGCAAAACATAAATCATTAGAAGGAAAGCTATAAAGATTTGGGACAATATTGGGAACTATAAAGAAAGAAATGGTCTTCAACAACTACTCTTGCTCTTTTGATTCTTTTTGTAATTTTGCACAAATCACCGCTTCCACACGGTGTTTAAACCACAAGGTCTTTTTTTGTAATTACAGTCTTAGGATGCTTATACGGGATTGGAAAGATGTTCTACACTAGTTTTTTTTTTTTGTAAGGCGAGACCTTTCTCATCCCCCGGCCTTTAGGCTGTTAATATTTATGAATATACTCACACTGTTTCCTACCAAATTAATAAAAAAGGGACTTGGGACAATATTGTTTTGGTACTCTCCTCTTCATCCAAAGAGTTTTGTAACTATCCTCTCCTCTATATTACTTTGAGTTGTGCTCTTTTCATTCTTTTGGCATTAGATCCTCCCCTTATAAGTTTCGTTCTTATCAATAGCATTCTTTTCACTCCTTTTGAGTTAGATTCTCCCCTTGTATGTTTCATTTTTATCAATAGTGTTCCCTTTGGATTAGATTCTACCCTTGTATGTTCCATTCTTATAGATTAATGAACTATCAAAAATCAAAATTTTAACTTATTTTTTGCTATTAGATCAGAAGGAACAACTACATAACTTTGGCTGTTTTTACCAGATTAAGGTCATGTGGAGGTGGTGGTACCACATTTACTTTAGCTGTTGGATTATCAACTATCTACTACAACATGTGCAGCAATCAATGTTCATAAAGATTTTCCTTTTTTCTAATTCTGAAAAGGAAATGGTAGAGTAGAGATAAACATATTACCTCTTGCACAAATCATTTACGTATTGTGATCCATTGTAAAACATGAACCACATCAACACAACCACCAATGTATCTGCAATAACACATGAAGAATTCAAGAGGTGAAAAGTAATACTAATAACAAGAAGCAAGGATTGCAAAAACCATTCAATCTAACAGCAATACATAAACTACCGAGCTTTAACTTCTAATTAGACAAAATCTTAGATTCAGTTATGCTACGACACAAACAAGCCTAAGAAGCATGGCTAAAAATTGACAATATATAACCACTAGACAGCCAAATTCAGACGACATAACTTCAATAAAGGAAGATCAAGATTAAATAAAAAATCCAACAAAAGTAATCCTAAATATCAATTATATGGCTAAACAATAATACTGGTAGCATAACCTCAATCTCAATCATAGGCCTAAACAGCTACCATGAATGCTTGCAAATGATAAAATAGATCACGGATCCATTAATGAGGAAATAGCGGGATAGAGAGCATACTGAAGAGGATTCGCTCCCACCAATCCAACATGTAAAGCCCAAACGTGACATTGTAAAGGTAGATCTTTCGTTGTATCCAATTCATGGCTACTGAAATCCTACAAGCAAGAGTCAACCTAAAATTGAAATGGATGGGGAAATAAGAAGTCATGGCAGTCCAAAAATCAAACTTTGAAAAATAATGTGCTTCTTGATCCTGAAGGGCCGTATATTTGGAAATAAATATATATTATAAACAAAATAAAACAGTTTGCCCCTCTACGTCTAAACCTCATCATAAAAAATTGAAGTCCTAGATCGCGCGGAGACCAAGATTTCAAGCCAAATTTCTACGAAATAGTAAACTGATTGCAGGTTCCTTTAAATTAAATTCTAAAAACAGACACGGATCTAGAAGCCCATAAACCCGAATAAAACAAAAATCCCTTAAATGTTCATAAGAAATTATACCCATTTGCCCTCGGAGTAAAGGGGTTAAAGAAAAGAGGAAGAAATTGAGAAATCACGCGGTTATCCCAGCGTTAGCTACAGTAGTGATTATGGAAAGGGAAGGGCAAATACTCGCGCTTGCTTCAAGGGGCCGAATCAAGCAGGAAACGAAAAATTCCAGACAGATCAGATAGAAAGACGGCAAATGAACTTCAATTTTACAACAAGTTATCAAATTGAAAGTGTTTCCGAGACCTAATTCGTCTCACCTTTCATGCAATGGAGACTGATTGGAGAGCCCGGGCGTTGAAGCTGCAGCCTGTAGAGGCAGAAGGAAAAAAGCTTGTGTTTTTCAGAGAATGTGGAGAACAAAAAATGGTCCGGCGGATTATTCCCTCATTATTTTTGCCCTCTTTCTTCCATAAAATTACGAAAATATCCCACGTTCATCATTTTTCTCTCACCTTTTAAATCAGCACATTTATTTTCCTACCTACCTATATCACTAGGTTAAAATTTTAGATCAGGGTCGGTTTGGTTGAAAACTCATATTTTATTTTTTGTTTTAGATTTACTAGATCAAATGAATTTAGTGAATACCCGTTTGGTACGATTTTGGATATTTATTTTTGAAAACCAAATCTGCAATCAAATATATATATGAAAATATAACTCTTTTTCATTGAATCCATTGTTTTCAAATTTCTGTTTTCTAATTACCAACCAAACACACCATAAAATACTCATGTTTTTTTAGTTGAATGATCGAATTTTAAGATGATAATAATTTTAATTACATTCATAGATCTCTAATATTAATAGATAGATGTCAGTTACTACTGAGATAGTTCATGTTAGCATTAATAAATTTCTATTGTTAATATTGTAGGTTAAATATTAATTCAACATGCTAATAGAATCTATAATTTGGAACTCTAAAAGTTGGAGGTTCAAATCTCTCGATCTAGAAAATATTCATAATTTGCCGCAACACGTAGAAGATATTTTCGAATTTAAATCGATTCAATTATTGAGTTTCAAATTTATATCAAATGGTTATTAGGGGATCATTTTCTTACAAGTGTTTATATTCTTTTTAAACTTCACGAACCCAAATAAACATTAAATTCAAAGTTTAGGGATTACAATTGTATTTTACCATTAAAATAATTTAGTTAATAACAAATGTAAAACTACAAATTTTATCTTGACTCTCAGATTTATGTGTAACATGTTCATGAATTCTATAAAATGTCCAAGATCTCAAATTTACAATTTTGTGTTTAACATGAACTTTAAAAATGTGTAATACTCATATGTCTAACAAATCCACGATCTATTAAAAAGAAAAAATAAAAATTAATGAATCACATAAGCACTTAAATTTTATGTCTAATTGAATTATCTTGAATATTAAGTTTTGTGTAATAAACGTAGAAATTTAGAAAAAAAATGTCGAATATGTCAACGACCAATTAAACAGAAAGCTCAAAACTTACCCAAAGTTCAAAATCTAGAGACCTATTAGATACTACTTATTAAAATTCAGAATATTACACATTTTTAAAGTTTATAGATCTTCGACTCTCACAAGACATCTTAAAAATTTAAGGGTTAAACTTGTAATTAAGAAAACTAGTAAGAACTAATTACTATCATAAATTCTCAAGAACAATTGGCCTATTAGTTCAGTTGGTTCGAGACTTGCATGGGCCAAATTTTTTTTTATACTAATTCATTTCTTTGCGTCCCTAAAATAATTTTCACAAACCAAAAAGTTTTGAAAAAAAGAAGTAACAATAACCATTCTTCTTAACATGAAATTCAACCACGTTTCTTATAAGAAAAATCCTCCATTGCAAAAGATGTTTGAATCATCTTCTCCAAGACAAAGAGAGCTCCCTCCCAAAACTTGATCACTTTGATCTGCAGCATCCCAAACGCCGCTCCACAAGACATCTTCAGCCGTCGCCGCCGCCACCGCCGCCCAAGAGGTGAAATCTTCATACAAGAAGCACTGATGATCCGCCATGGCATCTGGGTCTGCAAATACCACGGCTGAGTCCTCTCTCCCACATGGTTTCATCATCATCTGATTCTGCTCATCTGATAATTTCTCCTCATATTTTGAAGTTGTTTGTGCTGTTTTGTTGTTGTTGTGAGCCTTTCTTTTTGGTTGCTTTTGGGAAGTTGCAGTAGTAATAGTCTTCTTCATCTCCAGCTTCTTCTCCAATTTTGGTTTCTTGAAATGGGTTCTCCAGTAGTTCTTTATCTCGTTGTCTGTTCGTCCCGGTAAATATCTCGCAATGGTGGACCACCTGCAAATTTTCACAATCATGGTTTTGAAATTTTACTTTTTGCCCTTTCAAAATTAATCATTCTCGCAAGAGAGAGAGAATTATTTGATTACCTGTTGCCCCAAAGAGCATGAAGTTCAATGATAATGGCTTCCTCTTGAGGGCTGAGATGACATCTCTTGAGACCAGGTCTAAGATAATTCACCCATCTCAATCTGCAACTTTTCCCATTTCTATTCAGACCTGCAAAAGACAAAAGGTATACTTTAGTTTTTACCCCTATAGTAACAAAGTACTGTAGCTCGTGTCCGTTCTAAAGTTCGGACCTACTTGAGAGACATTTAAGATTTTTGGTATAAAACCCACTAAAAAAATATTGAATACAAGACCTCATAGTAGATAATAATAAGATCTTATGCGGAACTGTCCATTAGAACAATGAAGAATGATATAATTTAATATCTCTAAAAAACTTATATTGGCTTAATTCCTTCCTGTATTTTACACACACTCACGAAAATCACACAACATCTCTAGTAAAATTCTCAAACAAAATCCAATATCTTTTTTGAGAAGATCGAACCTTCAACTTTAGAAAAGTATTTACCATAAACCATGCTCAGATTAACTCGAACTGAAAAAGTAACAATTCACCTGAACCTATGGCAACAGAAGTCCACCTTCCTTCCCCATGCACCTCCACATATTGAGACAGCAATCTGTCTTCCTCAGGAGTCCAAGGTCCCTTCGTCCATCCTTGTTCCATCTTCTTTAATTTTTCTTCTGTCTGTGTGACCATTGCATGGCACAATGCTGTGGCTGCCTTTTCTTCCTATTTATATATATACATATATCCATCTCACTCGCACACTCTCACTTAATCCATTAATTAAATTATGCTAATTACTTAGCTTCCATTATCTATCATTTAATTTCTGAGTGATCTCATCGCCCACTCACATCTTTGAATCAGATCTTACTGATGATGACATTAATTTTTTTCTTCATTTTTCTAACCCAAGGGGCAGGGGTATTAATATTATTAATCTCCACATATGTTATTGTTCTAATATTATATAATATAACATATGTTATTAATCACATCAACATATATAATATATATATCTCCATCAGCCAAATTAGAATCTAACATGTGGGTTACTATGTTTGGCTAGCACCACTATGATTATTTTATTGGATGAAATAAATTAATTGTGTTGAAAGAGGGATGAAGATCACAAGTTTAACAGATAAAAATGAAGAAACTATTTGAGATGAAGTTCATCATTTCAAATGGTATGGGTTTTTTTTTCCTAATGAATGGTTAATATGGTATTAAAGTGTGAGTTTAAAACTTTATGTAACTTTTTTTTCACTACATTTCATGTCAATAATTTGTGTAGGGGCAATCTTTTGCCTTATATATTCAGATCTATACAACAAGGAAAATTTTAGAGAATATATATATATTGAAAATATTAAATTTGCTATAGTTATAATTTTATAATCTCAAGCTTTTGAGTTAGAGGTGATATAACACGAAGTAGCTAGCTAGGGAACTTTTTAAGTATATAAGTACGAATAGTTTTGAGTTTATACATATGCAATTTATTTCCTTTGTGTTTTCATATTAATAATTCTACTCGGAATGATATTTGACATCCAATTAACCCTAGTTTTATAAACTTCAACTTTGGGGTTAGTTAATACTTGAATGAAATTTAGACAATACCAAATCAATATATACGAATGTAAAAAATTCAACATTGAAGTACTAATTCTTCCATTGAGTGTTGCTTGACAATAAATTTAGTTTTTTTTAGAAACAATAAATTTAGATTTTAATTTTTTAGCTTTCAAAATTTAAATTTATTTACTAATTAAAAATGTCTCTAGAATGACGTAGTGACAAAGACACAAAGATATTAGGTTTTGTAGTGCCACCTGTCATGAGGTTTTGTGTTCAAGTCCTATGCTAGTTACTATGTTATTCAACCAAGAGAACAAGTCCTGGTCATAGAGATCCCCTCACTAAATCCACGCGAGATCGAAATATAAAACATAAGAGATTATCTTGAAGTTAAATGAATTAAATATGCAAAGGCATTGAATTGAGTCATTATTGTACTTGGGTGGGTCTCATAAAAAAGCAAATGACAGCACAAATCCATCTTTAATTGAACTTAACCCCAAAAGAGGCAAAGTGGGTAGTTGATGTTTCATTGAAAACATCTTCCCAATCCAATGGAACTTCACCATCTGTTAAATCCTTAAGATTCTTGCTTTTTCAACAAATATAATGGCCTATTGCTAATTAGAGCCTTAATTTTATAAGCACAAAAGAAGGTTCTGGTTCTAGGGAGCTAATTATGGCAGATGGAGCACATAAAATATTCCCAAAAAGAAGGCCAAATCCCATGAGTCAGCTTGCCAAACAGCTGGCCTTTGGACTGTCTGTTGAATTCAAACACCATTTTTTTTGGTGTTTCGGCATTGCTTAATTGCCTAAGGTTTTTGTTTTTCCCATTAGTTTATAATTTTGGGTGATGTCCATTTTTAGGTATAGTGATGGTAACATTATTCTATTTAAAGGAAGCAAAAAAGACTGTGAGAGAGGGAGATGCCTTCAGTGTGACTTTGAGTTTCATAGATTCTCTTTGGTATGGTTTAATTTTGGTAATGTGTATGTAGAAATTAAAATATGGTACCTTTTCTAAAAAGGAAAGGGAATGGCTTCTCCATAATCATATTATATAGTATTGAAAAATATAATAAAGAAAATCAAAAGGTAGTTTTTACTCCTCCGAAAAGTAAGTTTATAATGTTTTTCAATATTATCGCCCCGTTCTTGCTACGGGGTAAGAAAACATCCATTCTGTTTAAAAGGAAAAAAAAACTTCTTGGTACACCAAGAAATAGACTAAAAAATGATCCTTTTTTTTTTCTAACTAAACTTGGGTAGAAATAAAGTAGATGTGTAGCTATGAAAAGTTGAATAAAGGAATCAGAGTGAAATGATAAGGCAAGGTAAGTAAATGACATTTTGAATCTAATAGTAAAAGAGCATTAAGAAAAAGTTTTCTTACTTCTTCTCTTTACCTTCCCATTAATAAATAATCAAATACTTACTTTGTTAGGAATTAAAGCGAAAAGATTAAAGGTATCAACTTTCTTTCTCATTCTATCCCTACGTTTAAATTTAATGGCTATTTTATTTTCCTACCAATGTCTCACTTGACTAGACTAGTTTGGTTAGGTTCGAAATGATTATTAGTTCAGTCAGAAAAGGAAGGAATTACATCATGAAATTCAAACTTAATGAAATAATTTGAGATAATACCAGAACACTTATATTAGAGTTCATTAGTAATGAAATAGATGAGACTATCATGCAATGATGGAGGGTGAATAAACATATTTGAGCCATTAGAGGTTGTACTGTTATAGGCCACTGATGTCATGATTAAATGAAGGTGAGAGATTAATGAGAGGTACAAAGAGACTTATGGTGATAAAGGTAGGAAGGGTTCTATAAACACATTCTAGGTGTATGTGACTCGATGCTATTTAGGGTATGATGCATATTAAACTAATATATGATTCATAATGAATACGTGATATTTTTTTTAGTACAACATGTGGGGTAGGGAATCGAACTCACAACCTCTTGGTTGGAGATATATGCCAATTACTGCTGAATTATGCTCGTTTTGACATGAACACATTATATAGTATGAGAAGCTAGGTTGAGAGTGATTGAGTTAACATTTTCTTTTAATGAAAAGACTTCATTAAGAATTGCAAAAAAAAAAAAAAAATCTTACTTTGCTAAAAATTAAAGTCACTTAACAATCTCATCGTCTCTTCTTCCAGAAAACGCTCGTTAAGTTAACATGTTGATCAATAGAATATTTTAGCATTATTCATAAAATTTATCATACTTTTCAAACTATTGCAGGTTAAATTACAAATTTTGTCCAATAAATATTGATGGTTGTGTGTTTATTTTACAATTATGTCCTTGAATTTGGATTGTGATTCTACTATCAGCTTATTCGTATATTTAACATTATTAATTAAATGTCAAGCCGAACATAACTCTAATTAAAAAAACATTATTAATTAAATGATGGAGATATCAAATTCATTAATTTTTGAAACGATATTAATACATCTTATCCATTATTAAACTATGCTTAGTCTAGTTGATATATCACATCATTATTAAATCAGTGATGCACTGCATAGTATCATATATATATTTTTTAAATCATAGTATTACCGTTCAATGACGAACATTTTAAATTTAGTGACCCAACTTTGATGAAAAATTAAATTTATAACTTCTTCAAAATAAAGTAAAAATAAAATATATAATTTAATAGATATTTTACAAACTATCAAATATTTTTTTATTCTTTTAAAAACCTAACAATAAGTCAATAAGTTGGCACAAAACCTCAGCCTGTACTTGTAGCCGTGGATTTGAAGATTAGGGTTTAAGACTTGAGGCAAAAGTTGGAAAATTTAATCGTGCACAGAGTTTGAGAAAAACTCTGAATTGTCAAGTTGTCGTAAGAGCGGCAATAGGGTTCCGCTGTACCAAATTACAATTCATGTATAATATTCAACATATTTAAGGGTTGGTTACCACTTACTGGTTGGTTATTTACTTATTTATGTAACTGCTGCTGCTCGTTCAAGTTCTGAAACTCTCACGAAGTCTTGGGAACAAAAGAAGTGGAAGGTTTGAATTTTTGGTCGGGATTTTGGGCTTCGCTCGAGTGGAAGAAGGAAGAAATCCGGAATCTGTTTTTTGCATGATAAAGCCGAAATAATGGCGACAGATCTTAGTGAATTCACCATCATCAAGGAGGGAGAGGCTGAGATTCTCATGCACGCGAAGAATGAAGTCTTTTTCAATAAGACCCAGGTGCCTTGTCTATTTTTCAATGATGGTTTCTGGAGTTTTGGAGTTAAGGCATTGTCCTTAACTAAACTTAATGGGTCATTCAAAAAATTTCCTCGTTTTTTCTTTTACTTTCTTCGCCCATGGATGCTAAAGGTGGGGGAAGAGCTTACGCATGATTGGTACTAGCATTTGAAGTTAGATTAGGGGAAATTTCTATTGGTGAAGTGAAGGGGCTTTGTGATTGATGCCACTATATTGGAACTTCAGAATTTTAGCATATTTAAAGATAGATATTTGATGGAGAAACTAAGATATACAATTTATTCAAGTCAGCAAAGTAAAATGTGGTATAGTAAATTGTAAGATATTGTTCCATTCAGTATGCACAACATGACGGCAGTTTTCTTAATGTTATGAATGATTAATCATCGGCCTATAGCTGCATTGCTTTATTACATAATTTGTTTTAGGTCCCAGAGTCTTCCCTTCAGTAATTAAGAGTATCTGGGAATCTTTCTTTTACTTCATGGAAATTGTTACCTACTTTATTCTATCTGTAATATCATCATATAATGAAGGGTTGCGGGAGTTGTACTTACCCTTTTTTGGCTAGCTTCAAACATAATATGTCTAGCTTCAAACTTTTTCTCATTGTAGAATCTTGACTGTTCACCATTGTAATATTCAGGTTAACAACAGAGACATATCCATTGCTGTCCTTAGGGCATTTATATCAAAACGCAAACAGGAGCACGAAGCAAAACTATCAAGAAGAACAAAAGCCGGGCAAAAGATTTCTGAAAATAATGTTTCTGGACCTGTTGTGGAAGAAACACCTAATGAATCTGCCACAAATGATGAAAAGTCAAATACAGATCGTGATGCTCATGAAGAAACACCGGATGAATGTGGAGTTCCAAAGTTGTCAGAAGAACAAAAAGAGATCATCGAGGAAAAAGAACAAAGAGATCCCAAGCCTCTTAGAGTTCTCGAGGTTTCTTTTATTTCAATGATCATCTTATTACGTTCATAATTTAATTGATGTTTATTATTCTATGAAGTGTGGACATTTTAATTTAGGAATATGTCCATGTCTGGATTATCAGTACCCTGTTTCAGTAATACAGAGTCTGTAATCTGTCTTTCCCCTAATAAGCTACCTAAATTCTGAACTGATGCTACTACTAGAAAGGACCTTCTTGAGATGCACTACAAGAAGTTTGGTGACTATTTATTAATTAGCAGTTGTTAGGGTAAGAGGCCTGAGTCTGTTCTGAGAATTTTTTGGAATAAGATGACCGAGAGTTTCATTAGTGCTGAAATCGAAGACTTCCTTTACCACAGAAAGTTCTGGAACAATGCAACACAGCTGGGGCTTTTCCAAGTCTAAGGTCTTAGGTGGTTGCAATATTTACCCTCCCCGAAACGTTTCCTCCAATTGTTAGTGACCTTGAGTTGAATTGGCCACTAGAGGACATAATTCTTTTTAAATAAATGGAAGACCTGGAAGGGTAAGGATATAACAGAAAAAAAAATTGTTTAAAATGATGAATTTTGAATGAAGATACTTCTACGTATCTGATATTTGAATTTTTCCTTTTGATATGATAGATAGGTAATTAGTTAAGGTTTTAAAAAAATCTGATTTTAGTTTTCCTGTATATTATTTTGCTATACATCATTGCATTATTAAACATTTTGTAACTGGCTTCTCAAATTCTTACAGATGTTGTATAGCTTATCCTCTCATTCATATAGTTGGAATTCAAGTAACATAATGTAAAGTGCATATTTTATGTGAAAGTTGAAAATTATTTAGAAGCGTCAAAATATACAAATATATTAGATACAAGTTGTTATGAATAGTGTGTTTTTGTGCCATGCTCATGTCCATGAATATGAATGTCACCCCATTCTAACATGTTAGAATTGAATGTTCACCATGTTGTCATTGTGTTTTTTTTACTCCGATGTTATATTTGTGCTTCTAAAACTTTTTATGTGTGTTCCCTTCTTAAGGGCCTTTTGTAATTTCATACATCAATGAAATTGTTTCTTTCACAAAAAAAAAAAAAAAAAAACTTTTTATGTGTGTTTGCTTCACTTTTGGGATTCCTGATGTGGGTATAGTGATTTGTTGTCTATTCAATATTTTCTGAGTACTTTCTGTTTAACTTTGAAGGCCTTGTCGGCTTCAGGGCTAAGAGCCTTAAGATATGCTCGTGAAGTAGAGGGCGTTGGTCAAGTTGTGGCGCTAGACAATGATAAAGGTAATTTCTTGGTTACTGTAATATCAAAAAGTTACTTTAGAATGTTTCTTGTCAAAAATAAAACAAAGGTTAAAAAATCTTGTAAGAAATCTAAAGTTTACGAGATTGTTAGGTTATCTGTTATTCATATCAATGGATACCTTTATGCACACACTTCATACATGCACGAAGAGCTCACAGTGGTTTCTGATCATAAAGCTCTCTACTTCCACAAGGTGTTTAATAAGTGGATTTTGGAATATTGCCAATGCTTGACAGTTGGCACTACCCCAAATCTGATACGGAAGGTACCTTTGCCTTGTACAGGCAGAGGAAGTTAGTGTTGATAATCTTTTCCCTTGTTATCTATATTCAAATGTTTTTTTTAACTCGATGCAAACTTCTCATTGAAATAATGAAGATAAAATACAAAATTTAGGAGTGTATTCTTTGTATTTATCTCTGTAAATCATCAATTGATGTCTGTCAGTGACACCATAAAAATGGAAGTTATCCATTTTTACTGTTCTTACAATATGTTCTTATCTATATTGATATGACATCTAGGTGTTGGTTACTAACTGAACCTGTTAATAATAAGAATTGTCTTTCTACAGCATCAGTGGAAGCTTGTCGAAGAAACATCAAGTTTAATGGTTCAGTAGCATGTGCGAAGGTGGAATCACATCTTACTGATGCTCGTGTTTATATGCTCACTCACCCAAAAGAATTTGATATGGTATGCATGCACTATTTAAGATATGTAGGTTATCTCTTTAGAAATTACATATAGGGAAGTAATTATTGGAATGCATTTTCTTTTTCCTTGTTATAGTTTAGATAATAACCATGTATAACTTAATTTCCTTGTTATAGTTTGCTGTTCTTTAGGGTTTGTGGTATGAGAGGAAACAAGGGGTAGAGAGTTCTAGGGAGGAGGTGTCGGCTCTTGTTCAAAGTATTTTGTGATTATTCTTAGGTTTGATCTTGCTTGATTGGAGCTCGTTCTTTTAATTTGGCTCCCTTGGTTTGGCTCTTTTTTTGTATGCTCCTTTGTATTCTTTCATTTTTCAAAATGAAAGCTCGGCTTTTCATTAAAAAAAAAAAACCAGTATACCTTAATGATTTAAGCTCTGACATGAATGCAAGTATCAAGCTTTATCAACTTATTTGGATATTTTCAGGTTGATCTGGATCCTTATGGTTCACCTTCTGTTTTCTTGGACTCTGCTGTTCAATCAGTTGTCGATGGTGGTATGCTGATGTGCACAGCAACTGATATGGCGGTGCTTTGTGGGGGAAATGGAGAAGTTTGCTATTCAAAGTAAGGTTTTTTTGGGTCCTCAAATATTATTATTGTTTCAATTTCTGCTGTAACTGATTCTGTGTCTATAAATTGCTGACTGATTCAGATATGGTTCCTATCCTTTGAGAGGGAAATATTGCCACGAAATGGCTTTAAGAATCCTCCTTGCCTGCATTGAGGTATGTCTATCTCCTGTGTATTTAAAAAGTTTTAATAATTTATTTTTTCACCTTTTCTTTTCTCTTTCTTTTTCCTTCTCTGGTTTGACTTGCCGTATGAGATCATTCTTATCTTAGTAAAAACATGTGGTATATAAAGAGTGAAGAGGAAACTGAGATCATTCATTTATATGTATTTATGTACATATTTTATAAGAAACTGAGAATCTATTGAGGGGAGTACAAAAAATGATCCCAATTAGCACAAATAAGCAAAAGAAGTGTAATTATAAAAAGAATAGGATGAGGTACAGCACCAAGAAGCATAGTGTCTAAGTAGGTCCAAACATTCTTCCAAAGGAGAGAAAGAGTCTTTGAAAATCCTTTGGTTCCTGTCATACCCAAGCCTCCATAAAGAGTGAAGAGGGTATTAGTCCAAAGGATTTTGGCCTTCCCGGAGAAAGGGTGGCCGCACTGAATCTGCGGTATCAATGATCTGCTACATGAAGGGAAATACCAAGCAACTCCTGTTTATGAGCTTTTATCACTCAAGAAATATACATGTATGAACGCGTATATACACCTTCAGAAGTGTTGATATCCAAGTTGACACTCATTATATTGTTAACTAAAGTATATAGCTCTGCCTGTTTATGAGTTTTTTGTCATTCAAGGAATAAGTTATTTTCTTTATTTTTAGTTAATTTGAGTCGTATGGTGCTTCACCTGCCTCTTTATTCTAATCTTTAGAACATGCGAGCTTCTTTAACTGAAATATAACATACTTCAAATGCTTGGTGTGGTCTCTTATGCATTATTTTTGTTGTTCTAAATTTTGTAGAGCCATGCAAATAGATACAAGCGGTACATTGTTCCTGTGCTATCTGTTCAGATGGATTTCTACGTTCGTGTTTTTGTTCGTATTTACACGTAAGTGCCTAAGTCTTCAAATTTAGTCAGCTAGACGGTATTCCACTACTTCTTTTACGTGGTATAATTATGATATTAATATAAAAATGATGTAGTTTCTGTTGATGTTAACACTTAGCAAAATAATTGGCTGCAGTTCTGCAAGTGCAATGAAAAATACTCCCCTTAAGCTCTCATATGTTTATCAGTGCACTGGTTGTGATTCTTTCCATCTCCAGCAGATTGGGAGAAGCGTCTCGAAGGTATATACCACTAAGACCTGGTATTTATGCTAGTTATTACATAATTGAGTTTATTTTTATTATCCAGTGTAACTTCTCAAACTGGTTCCTGTGACAAGTTTCTCATGCTTATTTTTACACTTACCTCTTATTTATTTATTATTATTTTTGTGGAAAAACTAGCTTTCATTCAATTGAATGAAATAAAACTAACAGCCAACAAAAACACAATGGCCAGCCAAAACTGGAGAACACAAGAAAAAAATTACGAGAATGGGTCCTAACTTTGGTGATAAAAGTTTATTACAAAAAAGGTTCGAAATATGAGTGCAAAGGAAGGCATTAAAATGCACCAGCCCTTCACCTCTTCCCACCACCTGTCTAATCCCATAAACGTTCTCCCATTTCTAAAGCTTGTTTTCCAAAGTACACTACTACCTTTCTTTATAAACAGAGGATCCAAAACAATGTCCTCCATCAACCCTCAAATGTCGGCTTTTTAACCAGATAAATATCAAAAGCCTGCTACAAATAATCCACACTTCAGAAGCAAGAGAGTATGGCCAAAGGAGGGGTGATTAAGATCCTCTGCATCACACTTGCACCAAGCGCACCAATTTGGCGAACAAAAATAGAGCCTCTCGGCAGGAAGTTAACATCAACAAGTCAAGAAAAGAACTGAAATTTCATTAAAACTTGATATTCAGAATCTGGCTGATGTAAGCTATCGATTTTGTATCAATATTTAATTTTGGTTGGAAGTTATAATAGTTGAAGTAGTAATTTCTTTATAATATGAACTTCTATAGTTTCTTGACGTGTCACTATCCTTCTGCTTTCAGAACAACAGCATCAGGTATTTACCTGGTTTTGGTCCTTCTGTTCCTCAAGAGTGCAGTGATTGTGGGAAGAAATTCAACATGGGTGGGCCTATCTGGTCTGCTCCTATCCATGATCAAGAATGGGTTACTTCCATGCTAGCAGACGTGAAGTCTATGAAGGACACATATCCTGCATATGATCGTATATCTGCTGTATTGACAACAATTTCAGAGGTGTGCCTTATGTGCGGACAATAGTGATTTTAGAGTAAACACTTTATTAGTAACACCATGGTTAAAAGGCTCTCAAACATACTAAAAATCATCTTGCTATTATGTGCTGACGAATGGTTCTAACTTGTGAAGGATTAAGTACAATAGTGATTTTAGAGTAAACACTTTATTAGTAACACCATGGTTAAAAGGCTCTCAAACATACTATAAATCATCTTGCTATTATGTGCTGATGAATGGTATTCATGTACAGCAATTATAAACCCGGATGTATTTGTTACTATGCAGGAATTGATGGATGTTCCCTTATTTTTGAGTCTCCACAACCTCTGTGCAACATTGAAGTGCACATCTCCATCAGCTGTAAACTTCCGTTCTGCAGTGATTAATGCAGGATATCGCATATCGGGCACTCATGTGAATCCTTTAGGACTGAAATCAGATGCTCCCATGGATGTAATTTGGGATATTATGCGTTGCTGGGTAAGGCACACCCAATGCTACATTTCATTATATACTTGAATGTCACTTTATAATATCATAGCCTTGTGATCAGGAGTGGAACTGTAGACCTTCCTTAAATGTACTTTCATCCTAATTTCATCTACTGAAGATGGGGCCTTCTTGATTACCTGAAGAGATTTTTGAGTTTTCAGTGATCCTTTTTCATGTAGGTCAAAAACCACCCGGTGAAACCTCAACCAGAAGATCAGCCAGGAAGTGTCATTCTTGCTAAGGAACCGGTGCTTCAAGTAAGTTCCATTTTGTAGTTCGAGTCTTGTCGAACATGTTATTGTCCGGGGACTAAACTTTGGGTTACCACCATTCACATTCAAACACATAAAACAAAAGGCCTGTGGCTGATATACTTTTGCCAATTCTTATCTTCTTGACGCAGGCTAATTTTGCTAGAGCTGTGGCATCTCTTAGCAAGGCTCAAGCAAAGAAAGTTGCACGTTTCCTTCCAAATCCTGAAAGACATTGGGGCCCCAAGCTGAGAGCAGGTCGTCAAATCGCTAGTAAGCACATCTCTCTACTGGGCGCAGAGGCAGTAAACGGAGCTCTTAGCCATACAGATTCTGAAGAGCCTAATGCAAAACGCCCCAATGTAGAAGAAGTTGCTCTTAGCCATACGGATTCTGAAGAGCCTAACACAAAACGTCCGAAGTTAGTAGAAGAACCAGCTACCGATCAGTAAAAGGTTATCTTTCTCATATTTTCTAGCTTGTTACTATGTTATGCAACATCTACTTCTTGACCCGACGCATGAAATGCTTGTTTGGGGACACTCCTGTAGAAGTAGCAAATTTTTGTTTAATGTTGAGGATGGCTTGGCTTTCTTTCAAAATATATCATTTTTGTTAATCCCTAAGATGGTTTAGATTTCTGTCGAGACAGAGAAAGCATAATTTTTTGTGAATCCAAATTAAATATAATTTAAGCTTATTGGCATACGGGATATGGCTTGAAAAGCAGAGATGGAAAAATCCAATAGCTGGCTGAAAATTTGTTTAATCTCAAGTGTGCTATTATGTACATGGTGTTGTATGCTCCATTGAGGCGGGCCTTCATCTTTAGGAAAAAAATAGCCCCAAATTAATTATTTGCTAGTATCATTCAAATGATACAAGTGAGATCGAAAAGCATACTTAACCCTTGCAAGTAAACATGCTCTAGCCAAAACTTAGCATGTTTCTCAAATACAGGAAATTTGGTTTTAAAGTATGTTTTGAACAACGTAAAATATCATATTGAAGTGACATAATAAGTATTGCAGGCTAACCTCTCGGTTTTGAGAGCTTGACCTTTAAATTAAGAAATGCATCTATGTACTTTCTCATTAGATTGAATGGACAATAGTGTTTTTGAGATCTTACCATGTACTGATCATGTGATTGCATGTATAAAAAAGTTTAATATTTATGAAAGAAGAACTCAACTCATTGTATGGGAAATACTTACATTGACCTTTAGCAGTAGAAGGGGGCTTAAGAATAAAAGTTGGGGGAAAAAATGAAGTCAAATTGTTCAATACTTGGGGACAATTACGTATTGGTCTTTTAATTTAGGTCATTTCTATACCCAAGGAATCAAAGAATAATCTCATTCCCTTTTGTTTATAAGATTTTTGTTGAGCAATTAACTATGCTAATTGCATGCACATGGTGCTAAATTTAGCGATGAAGAGTGATTGAATGTTACAAATGGAAAGAGTTACTAGACACTGGTATTATGTCTACCAATTACCTTTCAAGGCTTGAGTCGGCTTTAGAGTTTCAATATAATAGAGTGCAAATTTCTTCTCCATCCTCGTATACTAACAAAGTTTACTATGATAATGTTAGTTGTAGGCTTTTGATAAGATTCCGTTAAACACACACACCAATCACAAATCACTAGAGGTGGTCATCAGTCACAACTTTCATGGAATTGCTAGGTTGTCATTGGAGGCTTTGGTGGGCTTGCAAATGGCTGTGGTGCCATGGAAACTATGTAGTGTGGTGTGGTAGTTGGCCTTTGGCGTGAACCCGATGTCATGTCATTGCTTGTACCTTTTCTATTCTAGTCTCATCTCTTGTCAAGTTTGATCAATAGTCATGAGGTTGAATTATATCTTGTGCGATTTCCACGAGTCTTGTGCTCCTTGTTTCAATTGTTGGGATACGTTGATATGGATCAAGTGGCCAACCCACTTCTACTAAGTGGTTTTTGGTCTCACCTAATCAGGCCACAATTTACTTAACTCAACGTAGCATATTCGCAACTACTGGCTTAGTGTGATAGTCTATTTGGACTATTTGGAATATGTCGTGAATTGTTTATTTTGCAAATCCTACCTATGGCACCTTAAATATACAAATCTTTGATTACCATGAACGTTTACACTTGTTTGATGACGATCAGTGAATGTCCTAGGGTATCAAATGATGCCCCAAACCTTCAGATGCCAAAGTTGATTACTTTGATACCCAAAATCTTTGAATGTCAAAGTTGAGAGAATCAGATTAAGTAATACTTCAAATAGAAATTTCAAACATGGTTGGACCTCACAAAGTTTATGAATGTGGGCTGGGCCTTAGACCAAGAGGACAATATTGGATTTTTGTTTAGTTGAGCCCAAAGTTGAAAAGTGATGTTACTTTGCAATGAAAAAAGAGTGAAAGAGAGAGAGATGATGAATACTTGAAAATTTAATTTCATTCCTTTTGTCCCTAAGGTGTTAGAATGTTATTGTACATCCTCCCTCCATATATTAATTTCTCTAACATTGATATTGCCTATACATCTTCATCTTCTTCTGTACATCAATTCTTCACACTACTCTTTTTTTTTCTTCCCTTTAATTATTATTTAATTAGTTCAATCAGTAAGATGAAACCCTAATGTGGAACCCACTTGGGGCTTCCACTCTTGGAAATTTCAACAGCTCATCTCCTCCAACTTCTTCCCACCTGCAAGACAAAAAGAAAAAAAAGGTTCCCTCTTGATCTCAGCTTCCTGTTTTTGATTTTCTTGCTGTTTCTGAGCAACCAAACAATGGATAAGAAAAAGAAAGCTACCTGTATTTAGTTACAAAGTAATGAAGAAAAGTAGAAATCTCTGCAACTCCCAGTTCTTTCCCAGGGCAAAGTCTGCTGCCACCTCCAAAGATGAAGAAGTAATTATGGGACTCCAGGTTTTTGTCCTGCAAATGTCATACAAGGGCAGAGTTGTCATTTTGCAATAGAGGGTAAGAGAGAGAGCGAAAAATAAAAAATAAATAAAAAAAGACCCACCAGCCATCTCCAAGGGTTGAAGGTGAATGGTTCAGAATAGAGAAAAGGGTCATAGTTTATCTCTCTGGTGTAGACATAAATCCTCCATCCTTTTGGAATGAGAAAGCCTGTAAAAGCAAACCAAAATAAAGGTTAAAGATTGAGACTTTTTAGCCCAACTTTTTGGGGTTGATCTCACAACATTTTTGTAATGAGGAGGTGAAGAAGTTCTGTCATTCTTTATGAGCCTTATCTAAGCCTGACCCACAACAGAACATAGAAGAGAGAGAGAGAGTGGCCCAAAGTGAAAAGGGAGATGAATTGGTAACTGCAAAAAGAGGATCTTGAAGCCCTAAATATCACAAAACAAAAGTTGTGTGACCGGTGATATTCAAACATCTTACTTTTTACATCTTACTTTTTAATCGAAGATATATGACTTATCCGGTGAACTATAAAAGGGCCAAAATATTGTGAAACTAAGCCATTTTTTATCTCAAAAACCAGCAGCCATGCCCATTACTTTGTGAAGAAAAGTTCGAAAAGAGAGAAAAATATTGTCCTGCCCCAAAGGCATGTGGGCAACCAAATTTTGTTCTCATTTTTATGCATTATAAAGTTCATTTCTATCATTTTTTTATGATTTTCATTATTTTAATGAAACTTACCATTAAGTTCCATGTCCTTTGTAGTTTTCCTCAAAACCCCATTAACAATTGTGGCCAGTCTTGATGTTTCAAATATCACCTAAACAGTTAAAAACAGATCAAAGTTAGTCTTTATATTTACCCTCCTCAAAGAACGGTTAGGAAGACGACAGCAAAAGAACATGAAAATCTTACCGCACGAGTGAACTTCATGGCTTTCAGATCATCCCAATCAATGGGGTCCTCTGGATTTTTCCTCTCTCTGATAGCCATATGCTCTTCCTGCAGTTTTCATTCAAATCTCTAATTAGAAAGGGGGAAAAAAATCCCAACAGCACTTTAGAACTTGAAAGTTTCAATCTTTCAGTTTCTTTTCAACTCACTCTGAGTTGCTGAAGAACTTTGGGATGATCATGGAGGAACTTGACAGCCATCATAGAAGTTGTGGAAACAGTTTCATAGCCAGAGTATAAGACAGTGATGATCTGATCAATAATCTCTTCATCTTTAAGCTTATATTTGTTCTCCTCACTCATAAAAAACCCAAGCATGTCGTCTTTCTCTGTCTTTGAGGCTCTTCTCTCGTTTATCAGCTGCTGCAACAGCTTTATGATGTTCTTCCTTGCCTGAAATCACAAGCCTCTCTGTTATTCTCACTCAAATCCGTTACCGTTATGGTATATTTAATCATTTATTCATATTTTCTCGACGCTCTCCCTTCGACGTTATTGGAGTTCGAACATAGTACTTTTCGTTCGGATGCGATGTTAAATCACTACTAAATCCAAACTACCTGAATTCCTCGGCGGTAGTTGGTGCCGGGAAGATCGATGGGGAGCGAGAGAGTGCCAAGAACAAGCTTGAAGAACTCCGGAATGAACGATTCCGATAACGGGCCGGACTCGATTCCCGCAATCTGCTTCAAAGACGACCGGAGAGCCATCTGCAAGACAGACAAACAGGGATTGATTCAATGAGTGAAAAACAGAGGAATACAGAGTATCAGAACAAAATCAAAAAATTTATCGTCACAAGAAAGTTTACTTCTTTAGTTTTGTCTTGGATGTCAATGATTTGGCGATCCCAATTCCTCAAATGGGACCGCATGAAGTCATCAACTTTAGGTAGAAGACGGTCTTTAATCATGGCCGGGGAGACGATGGCGAGCAGAGCAGCTCTCATGAGCTTGTGGGCGCCGCCGTGGACGGCGGCGATATTACATTTTCCGAGGATGTCAAGCATGGACTGAGGGTAGCCAGGGACAAGGCCTTTAGATTCATTCATCAGAACATATCGATTGACCTCTGGATCCATGGAAACAACAGTAGGACACCCCAAAATATGGGATTTGAAAATGCTCCCATACCTTAAAGAAAAAACAGAGCAACCAACAGTTAGAAATCTAGAGAGAGAGAGAGAGAGGAAATAGAGAGATGGAAAAAAGAGGAACCTTGCTCTCTGGGTCTTCATGAAGTTGGGGCCTTGTTTAAGAAACTCAGTGGTTTCTCCAAAAACAGGCCAGCCCATTGTACCAGGGGGGAGCCCTTTTTTGCTGAATCTAACTTCATTCCATCGCAGCAGAGCAGAGCAGAAACAGAGGAGCAAGATCAGTGCCAGAATCGCCATGGCCACCGCCATTGATGCTCCCAAGAAGCTCGAACGAGACAGTGGAGAGAGAGGGGGAGAGAGAGAGAGAGGGGGGTTTCAATGGATGGGGCTTGGTTGGATTTATGGTACAAAAGAAAGTGCCATATATATAGACCTCTGAACCACCGCGTGTGGGAGGAGAGAGAGAGAGAGAGTTGAGTTCGTGTGTGTGACTGTGGACTGTGGAGTGTAGAGAGAGAAAGAAGGGTCAAAATTTTGTCGAAATCAAGATCCCTATAAGGGGAGCGGGACCCTACCAATCTAAGAATGAACCATGAAGGTAGCCTAATCCTAAGCCTAAGGCTAGGCCTAACCCCATCACTGTAAAATTCAATGGCTATTAGCTATTGGAAAAATGATAATAAAGATGAACTTTTGTTTTAACCTTCTTGAACCAAACACAGGTTCGGTTTTGGGTAGGCACTCTGATCAACGACCATTTCAAATTCCCTCAAAAAGGAATTAAAAAATAAAAGAGAGAACCTTTTTTTCTTCTAGTTTTTCCATTATTTCACAAACCCTCGTTTGAGCGTTGGAATAATGATTAATCGGAATGAGAACGTATTTATTAGATGTTATTTACTATAAATTTGTTGGAGTCGTCATCGTAAGTTTATTTATGTTGTTTATTAAAGTGTTTGAAATTAGAATAAGAATTAAGATATACAATAATTTCTTGTTAGGAACGAAGATCATGGTGTTTATGAATGAGAAATTTAGTTTCGTCATGGTGAATGGAGGAAAATCAAAGATTTTATATTTTAAGTTTGTCTATCTAGTTGTCTCTTAAATTTTTAGCAGGAATATTATACACAAATATTTAGAAGGTAAAAATTTTGTCATTCGTTATAAAATTTTCTAGTCCTACTTCCTTTATATATAGCCTACGAGACTATCAAATTCATAGCTTGAAATAAGAAAGCTTCCAACTTCTTAATACAAAGTTACACAAGTTTGACTCGCGCCACTCAAACATCTTTTATATTATTGAGTTAAGGTTCAAATGGCCAAATTCGATACTATAAGAGTATAAATACTACTACTCATTGCTAACCATGTGTGCTAATGATGCGGAGTCCAACAAAATTAAACAATTGTTTGTGAAAGAAAATTCAATACACAAACGAACGAGGATGATAGGTACTACGAGAATATTAGAAAATTTGGATAGATTTGAATATAACATAAAGGTTAGGGGAATTAGGGGAGGAAAATAGGGCATTTTGTAGTGGTAAAGAAAGACAGTTAAGAAAGGATGTGTGGAAGAAAGAGCACATGCAAAGCACCCCATTTGACCAGAAACAAAAGGAAAAAAAAGGCATTCCAATTTCCAGTCCTTCACATGACTGTGAAACACACAGACATAAGACATAAAACACAAAACCTCTGCTTCTGCTAATGGAATTTACATCATCCACTACAAGACAGCCTCTCTTAGGTTACCATGTGATGTCAAAAAAGAGAAACAGAGAGAGACTTTTGTTTTTAAGTTGATAGTTCAATTCTAACTGAAAGTTTGTAACTAGAACTAGGAGGATTATTGGACTGCCCCTTGTTCCACTTCTAAAGCTGTGGACTGCACCACCACTTCTCTTTTAAATTGCACAACAAATGGAGGAGAGAGAGAGGAAAGTTTAGGACCCCTTTTTTGGACAGAGTGATATATTATATTAGATTCTAAAATTGGTTGATTAAGAGTGAGTTTGAGATGGCTTCCGGGGCTCATTTTAAATACATATGACATCAATTTAAAGTAATTTTAAGGTTTAAATACTATCTTGGTAATCGGGTAACAAAAATCGTCCATCTTTCAAAGCATCTGAGAGAGGTGAACTTCACTCATTGTAGACGAAAGATGGTAACTCGGTAGGCTCATGAGGCAATCACCAGAGCTCCAATTGAGTTACATCGTGTTCTTCGTGAGGATATTGAGCATTTCTTGGATCATGAAGTTTCTTTAATTTGATTTTACTTTTGTTTTGTGTTTGTGTTCCAATTCTCAAATAAAAAAACTATTTGGGTGTTTTGTACTTTTGACCTTAGTTCATTTTGAACATAAATTTATAAACAATAGGAATACTTCAATACAAATTTATAGCTATATTTTGAGATATTTAATGGGTGAAGTGTCATGTTAAAATTATGATCGAAAAAAAAGACAAAAATAGATATCAAAATAGTCTATTTTTAAAAGTACAGGGACCGAGATGAATCATATAGGAACCAATTATTGTATTACACATCTTTTTATATTAAAAATACAAATTCACATAGTTCTAGGAATGGAATTAAATATACACCAACATGTTTGATATTTTTTTCGATAAATTATTTAATGTTGGTATGATTAGGTGTCGAGGTTTATGAGGGCTAATTATTCAATTGATTAGTGAAGGAAAATAAGATGTATTATATAATAATGTAGAATTATACATTGGGTTACTAAAAAGAAAAATACTTTAGTTATTAATCATAGGGCAAAACCTTGACATTGATGCCTCAATGATGGTCAAAAAGGTTTGCTAAAAGTTCAAATGCCTTTTAAACCATTATAAATCACACTTATAATTTATAATTCTAAATATTATTTTGTGTGATTTGTAAAATTTTTTATTTCATATTCATCCTAAAGTTTTACTATTTAACTTTAACAAAAAATTGTAGAACCACGCTTAGAATAAGTCACATGTATTAATTTCCTTAAACTTCTTTAAGATGGTATGATTTATAAATCTATAAATTGGGTGAAATTTGTAATTATCTCTTCTTTTTTTTTTCCTTCTATTCTAATCACTATAGTATCTAAAAGGTAATTAATATAATCTTAATTTGGACATGTAATAAACTCTACTATCTGCATAGTAGATTTTTTCCCTTTGGATTATTAGAAGACTTTTTTGTATTAATTATTCTCACATTTGCAATTTTGTAATTATCTCTTCAGGAAGAAATGTAATTAATGTAATTTTAATTTAGGTATGTAATCCAGGGTAATTAATGTAGTCTTGACATAAACATGTAATAAATTTTAGTATCTGCATAGTAGATTTTTTTTCCTCGGATTATTAGAAAACTATTTTGATAATAATTATTTGCACTCCTTCCCAAATACATTTCTTAGTTTTAAAATTTAAGAAATGAGATCTCCACATCGATAAATTTCAAAAATAAAATTTCATCACTTTTTGGTACATGACAAGCACATAGATTTATCTGAATATGACAATGAGATTCTATTTATATAAATTTTAACACAAAAAATGAGGTATTACTAAATCGTATATTTTGTAATTTCAAAGTTTATAAAGTATCGAAATAAGTTATTTTTTCGAACTTCATTAACCAAATTATATTTTTCCCTTTCTAATCTCAATCTTAACCTAAACCTGAGGGATGGTATTGTAAAGTTGCCCATGCATTTCTCCTATGAGATATGCCTCCAAATGTCAAACTTGTGCCTCATTTTCCAACCCTATTCCTACCAAAGTGATATGCTTTTTCTCTTCCTTTAATTTGAAGCTATCCTATGAATTCATTCACAACAACATACCCACAAAAAGAAAAATGAAAATCACTAAAATTTCCATGACTGGTTTTGGTAATCAAAAGTAGGCATAGCTGCTGCGATATTGATGAGTGAAAAACTTTCCAAGACATCAAAATTATTGTCTTCCCGACGATGTTTCATGGAAGAAGAAATTTCGAAAGTCGCCCGACGCTTCCCTTTGGGCAAAGACGACAAACTTCGGAAGCGGGGATCGAACAGTGAAACAAAGGAGGTGTGGAAATGATGGTGTTGTTTTGTTGTAATAACACACACCATTGAAAATAGTTATTGAGAGGGTGTGGGGCATGGCGGCTTCCGTACAGTAGGTGTACATGATGTTCATCAGTCCCATCAACACGTTAAGCCTTCAAAATGACACATTTATATGCTCCTTAGTTTTGAATTTTATCGATCAATTTTTGTATTGTTTGAATCATTGTTTTTTGGAATTTGATACCGAACTCGCTAAATATAAATCTATAGAATATCATGTAAATTTTTGTGAGTTTAATAAAGATCAAAATTGTGCCAAATTGGTTATTTATGGACAGGACAGTCAAAATTATAATAGATATACTGAAAGTTATTCAAATAATCAAATTGTCTTTGATAGAGTTATTATGCGGAAGTGTTAGTGTGAGACAATTTATCTTGACTCGTTTTTATAGTTTACACAATTTTGTGTTATACCTTTCTTATTGTCGTATTTGTGTTAATGCGCCTTCACACGTAACCAGGACATTTGTAGAGAATATAAATTATAGAATAAGAAATTAAATAATTGGAAGGTCACTGTTTTTTATTCTAACATTTGAAAGAAATGATTGATTGAGCTCTTATGTATGATTTAGGGATTTGATTATATGGAAACTGTTTGTCTTCATATTTTGAAAAGAATTAGCAAATTTAGTCTTAAATGTTTGAAACATTTCCTAAAACAAGGCTAATTTTTAAAATAAATATGTAAAATTTGAGAGTGTGATTTGGAAGTGAAAAGTGGTTTTAATTAATTGAAATTTTTTAATACAATTTTTAGTATTATTTTTTAAATATTTGATTTCTAGTTCCCTTACCAGTTTTAGTAAGCAATATCAATGAATTTTTTATTTTGATTTTATAAAATGTTTAGTAAACAACATTAAAAAGAAAAATAACATTCGGATTCCTTCTTATTTCGATTATTACAAGTACACGGATTTTAATGTATTTTCTTCTAAAAGTGCTTGAAAAATAAGCGCTTCAATTAAAAATATTTTTCTCAAAAAATTATTCCATTATATGCTATAAAATTAAGATAACATATTTAAAATATAAGAACCAAAAGAAGAAATTCCAAAACTGAAATAAAATTTATCTTTTATTTTCTTGCACCCTTT